TGGGAGTTGAAGTCCACTCATCTTAAAGTGGCCAAGTTTGGACAACACTGCTCTACAGAATGATGAAACTTGCATTGTGATGTTGCAGTACAAGCTCTGCTCCTTATGTAAGTATGTCTGCTTTGTCATTTGCTCCCCCTCAGGATGCCCATGAATTTGGGTAAATCTAAACATGCATAATCTTGTATACCAACAAAATTGAACCAGGACAAATTTCACCAATTCTGCTTCTCTCATGCTGTATTTTAGATGATCTCACATGTAAATGATGCTGAATTGTTTTCTACAATACTTACAGGCCATCAGCAATGGTTCTTCTAACATTAGAAGCATATTATCTTTTTGGAATTTGTCCTAAAGATACATGGATATATTTTGTTTCCCATCATTTTAGGTTTAGGTCAGTGTTAGTTTAATTATCAGAAAGAAATATACACCCCAAGCATGGTAGGTTATGTTCTTTATTGTTCATGACAAATGATCTAATGGAGAAGAAAAATTAATGCTGAAAAAACTGCCTGCTCTTCCTATCAATTGTTCAGTTGGGTCTTTCTGACATTAAGAACAGTGAAGATGGGAAGACTAAAAAACAAACAGGAAGAAAGACATGTTAGGAAGAGCTATGTTCTACAAGATCCATACTTCTCTCTCGTCTATGCTAGGTTATCAATCAAGAAATACTGGTTTAAATTAATTCCTTCCTCAAAACATGAAGGACAGCTTTTCTGTCTCCTGGGATGAACCTAACAGGGCATTGGATGTCTGTCTAGTTTTGACCTCCAAGGCTAGGTTTCATCTTCATTCAAGGATGGGTAACATATGGTCCAGATATCCTTACTAAAATATTAATCAAACATTTGCCCAGATCTATTTGCAAGGAAAACAAAATCATGTTCAAAAGTTGGTTGAGACAATTTAGTTCCTACTTTGGGCTCTTTCATGTCAGTGAATGTTTGGAAAAGAAGTGAGATTTGGGGAACAAGGATATTTGTTCCTGGATCTCTTCCTTACAAGTGACTTCATTATCTTGGGTGTATGAGTGCTAAGAGTAAATCCTTACTGCTAAGCATCAGTGATAATCCTATAAATCTTGAGAACATGAGGTAGCTAAATTGCATGGCTCCTGACCACTGCATTGAGTAGTCACTGAAGTGCAAGTGCTTGCTTTCAAGTTACAGGAAAACAGTGAAATTGTTTTGACCCATAGATGACCATCACTAAATTGGTAGTGTCATCAAAATATATCTTTTAAGTGCGGTAGGTTATTATAGGGAAACTGGTTCTTTACAGAGTAGAACTATTTTTCATCACAAAAACATCACATTAACCCAATGTGAAGGAATTAAGTAGATTTATTTATGGTCCAGGACCAATAAAACAGAAATACTAAATTAAAAATACAGAAATACTAATAAAACACATATATAACATTTAAAATATAGAATAAAAAAAATCAAACCTAAATAATGAGAAGAGGATATTACCCAGATTCTTCAAGTCCTATCCATTGCAAGAAACTTGATAAAATTTGTAGTAGTTGTCCAGGTTAGGTCTTGCAGAAGGAAGACTGTAATTTCTTGATCAGAAAGAGGACTAAACTTTTTGATAATCAGGTTTATGAGTGCCAGATGCCATGGATGGTACAATGGACAACTCAGAAATATGTGGGTTACTGACTTTATCTCTGTATCTGAGCAGAAGCACATATAATTGTATGAGAGAGTAGCAGATTTGCCTATAATCTCCATAATAGGAAGTGCACCAATCTGAGCCAAGGTAACAAGATTAATGTAAGCTACACACTGCCATTTAGAACTGTCTGCTCTGATTGGATATCTAGCTTTCTGCACAAAATATGTCCTAGTCCTGAGGTTTTGTTACAATCTACGGGCATCAGCAACTGAATCTGAGTCTTCTGAACACAAAAACTCTGCTCTCTTCTGAATTATACAGTTAAGAGCTAAGCTTTATTTTTGTAACTTGTCTGTTGTCTGTATTTTAGCCATCACTTTAAATACATCTTCCCTATTTTTGTAGGGCCTTGAAATTCCTTATTCCAGTTACATCCAGAACTGCAATCCGAAAAAGTGGGCAGAGTCCCATTCATTCAGCAGCAGATGGCCAAAATCCACAGTGCTTGGAACTTCTAATTGAAAATGGATTTGATGTCAATGTTCTTCTGTCAGAACACATTTCACAAAGTTATGATGATGAAAGGAAAACGGCACTTTATTTTGCAGTTTCCAACAATGACATTCTCTCAACTGAAATACTGCTGAAGGCTGGCGCAGACCCCAATAAAGATCCTCTCAATTGCCTTCTTGTGGCAGTGAGAGCAAACAACCATGAAATTGTACGGTTGCTTCTTTCTTATGGAGCAAATGTCAACTGTTACTTTAACCTTGTGAATGACACCCATTTTCCCAGTGCCATTCAATATGCCTTGAATGATGAAGTTATGCTAAGGTTGCTGCTTAACCATGGGTACAATGTGGACCTCTGTTTTGATTGCATACATGGCAGTATCTTTGGAAATTCTTTTTTGTGGCCAGCAACAGAGGAAGAAGTATTGCCAGGCTGGACATCTTGTGTAATTAAAGATAACCCTGTAAGCACATACCTGATTTTTTCCTATTCAAAATTATTGTTAATCAACATTTGTTAAGGAGAGTGCGTTGAGTTGGCTATTGTTGGGGTTAAAATCCCAAATGTTTCACTGTGATTGCACTCTCTTCATCCAAAGAAAATCGTGACTAAGATCTGTATGAATAATGCTCATCCCCTCCTCTATTTTTAGCCGTAATGACAAAGGCCAAGTGTAGAGTGAGGATAGAAGCTGTTGTAAAAAGAAAACACTGACACATGTTTGTGTCCTTGTCTCTGCTGATGATAAGCATGCTTAGAGATGCAGGTATAACATTGCTCCATTAGATGTATCCTTCTTCCAAAGGGTAGAGCCAAGGGAAGAACTGTTGATGGAACAGTGCTGGCAATATTCCTAGTGCTATGTGGGCAGGAAGGCCAAGATAATCCAAATGAAAACTTACATTATGTGCCATCAGAGGACTGTTAGACTCCCTGCAGAAGTTCTGCAAGTCTACATCTTGACTATCAAGAACAAATGTATTCATTTCATTATTTAGGTACTTTTAAGCTACCTTTTAGAACACAAGGTACCACATGAACTTCAGCTGTGTTGTACAGACAAAGAAGAGCTGTATCATCTTTTTGTTAACAAGTTTAATGTTCAATATGTTTTATAAATCATTAGATATGCTAGTAGATACTGTACCAAATATTTCAGCTCAGAATATAGCTTCCCAATTTCTTCCAAAAAGGACATAGAGAACTGAAGACACTATGAGATGGCACTGTAATATTTTAAGAATTCAAACAAGCCTCTCCTGCCTTTTAAAGCAATATTTGGATTAATGCATTTTGTTTTATGATGTGATCTGTTTGTGAATTCTGCACAATATTATAATAATACATTTCAGAAAAGGATTTAGTATAACACCAGTCATATTTCCTTTCAGTTCTGTGACTTTATTACAGTCCCTTGGATGAAACATTTAGTGGGACCTATTGTCCGCATTTTGATAGATTACATGGATTATGTTCCTCTCTGCACAAAACTTAAATTTGTCTTGGAGACTCAAAAAGAATGGCCAGAGATCCAGCAAATATTAGGTAAATGAATACTTGGCTTGGAATTATGCCAGCTGCTCAATCTATGAAAACAAAAGAAAAATGTATTTGTATTAGAAGATCTCAAATGATTTGATTCTATTGAGTATGTTATGACAATGTGTCCCGCTTTTTATCCATACTGTCTTAGAGTGAATGGGATTTATAGGCATGTGAATATGTAAAGCTTAGGAGAATAAAGGCTTAGTATAGTAATGCAGGTGGAGAGATTGATCTTGGGATATATAGGATTGTCCAAATGGAACACAAGAGAATCTATAGGTAGGAAGCTTACTACAGAACTACAAATGCGGAAAAGGAAATGCATAATACAAAATAAATGGCAAAGTGCACTAATCTAAGATCTAATGTACAAATGGGTAGATTTGGAACATCTAAACTTCTTTTCCTTGTAAATGTAACAGCACATCCTCTTGGATGTATGACTGCTAATAGTAATTGGTTTAGATGGCACCATAAATAAATGGCTAACCTTCCAAATTGGTATCCTTGAAATGTTGACTTGGGGTTCTAGTATTTGAAGGCCAAATTAAATATAATCAATAAGGGAAGACTAGTTTAAGCTATATCATTTGTCGAAATAATATTTGAAATGTATGGTCAAATCAGATCCTATGCATTTGTGCTATAGAAAAAATTTTTAAACTGGGTTGGCCTCATTTTAGTCAATGTATCTCACCACATGATGTGATGTTTTCAATAAAAGCCCATACCATTTTTTGGCTTTTGCCATGCCTGTTATCTAGGAAGTTTTTATCAACAACTTGGATACTTATTAAGTTGGCAGGTGACACAAAACTAAGAGGCTTGAATAGCTGGTAAAATTCAAACGGGGGAAATGAAAAGTTCTCCGTTTGGGTAGGAAACAAGAAAGCCACACGCATAGGAAGACAGTAGTACATGTGAAAGGGATATGAGACCCCTATTGATCACAAGTTAAACATGAGCCAGGAGTATGATGCAACTGCTAAAAAGGCAAACATTATCTTGGTGCATTAATAGGAGCAAAGAGTTCAGATCATGGGAATTTATGTTCCACTCTACACTGCACTGTTCAGATCCTATTTGGAGTGCTGTGTCCAGTTCTGGGCACCACAGTTCAAAAAGAACACTGACAAAATTGGAGCAAATTCAAAGGAAAGCTACCAAGATAGTGAGAAGTCTGGAAACCATGCCCTGTGAAGAGTGGGGTTAAAGTAACTGGGTATGTTTAACGTACAAGAAAGACAACTGAAGGAAGATGTCATAGCAGCAAATATAGGAAGTTACGTGGAAGGAGGAATAAACTTATTCTCTCTTGCCCCAGAGATCACGACTTGAACCAGTGAGTTTAAAAAATGGATTCAGGTAGACATCAGGAGAAACTTCCTGGTTGTATGAGCTGTAAGCCAGTGGAACAGACCACCGTATGAAGTGGTCAGTTCAGCTTCACTAGAGGTCTTCAAATAGGCTGGATGGTCACGCTCAGATGTATCCTGAACTGAGCAGAGGGTTGGACCAAATTATCTCTAAGGCTCCTTCCCACTGCATGATTCTTCAATTCTAAGTTAATCAGACATATTTTCCATTCCATTTCTTTTCTTTTTGTCTTTTAGAGAATCCTCGTCCGCTAAAACATTTGTGCCGCCTGAAAATACGTAAATATATAGGATTAGTGAGAACAGAGAAGACTCTGTCCATGAAGAATCTTCCTCTTCCCCCAACTTTAACAGCGTTTATCCTCTTCAAAGAATACGATCTTTATGGAAGAGAATTACATTTGGAATGATAATCAGAACCCTGGACATAGTATCTTGGCTATTAAACTTAGCTAAGCTTTAGATCAGAGTACCTAAACTGCCAAGTATGCGATTGTTTCTAAAGATTTCCTTATGCCCATGGAAGAGGTGTTCTTTGAGTATTTCGGGAGAAGAATAAAACCAGCTCCATTCTTCCATTTCCATTTGCGTCATGGAAGCAGGAGAACTGCTGTCAAACTTCATGCGTGTGAATTCTTACGTAAACTTCACATTTAGATATTTGCAGAACAGCACTAGTTTTCCTCCTGCCTACACATCTTTGGTTGCAGTATGTTTTCCCCCAACTTCTCCATTTCTGATACATAAGAAATAGAGGTGGTTCATTTGTTAAAAATTAGGGTTTTTATCTTAGCACGTATCATAATTAAATTCTGGATATATTCGTTCTTAACAGAAAATATTTCTTATTATGCAATATAGTGTGTGACACTAAATTGTGGAAGAGTTAAAAGAGATGTTAAGTGTTATATGGACTGTATTTAGACAAGAATCTTTTGCACTTTTTTCCTATTTTTTATGGCTTGCAAATTGGAAGCACAGCAACCATATAATTAATTTTGTTTTATTGTTATTTTGCAGGGGAACTTGCTGTATCTGATCAATGGGCAAGCTGTATTAGGACAAATACAGATTTCTGTTTATTTGACATGTCCATCTCAGCTTCTCCTCTATATACATATATAAGTATATGTATATGCACACAGACATATACTGTACATACATACAAACCGTTCTTATATAAAGCCTGTTTGTTCACAAGTCCATAACATCTGAACATATAAAAGAGACTTTTGTTCTCAAGAGATTATGCTAATTTCAACATGCATGGTGAATTTTTTTAAATTCTAGCATGGACACGATGCGTACATGAAAAATACACAATATTCCAGTTGAAGGGAACCTATAAAATGAAAGCCTGCAACTCAGGTGTGTACAACACATTTTTGGATTTGCCATGCTGATATTATTGGAAGATACCGTTACCTATTTAACCTCACAGAATCTGTTCAGGTTTGGGATTACTATTTTTTTTTCTTGGAAATCTTCCAATTTCTTGTCACCTTACTGCAAAATGTTTGCTGCAGGGGGCTGCACGGGGAGTGTCCCAAACAATCAAATAGTGCAATCAAAGCTCCAAATCATTTGTTATGTGCAACGCACCTAAAAAAAACAGGCAGTTCTGATTGCACGGTTGTAGCAGCCATCTTGACTTTTTTGACCATACCCTGCAGACATCCCAGTTCAGGGAAAGAAACACAAATGATCAAAGTGCATTTCAAAGGAAAAAAGATATCATACTGATTTTATACATTGTACGCTAAAATGGATCAGAGGTTCAACTAATGGTAGTAACACTGTTGTTATATAAATGTGCCTGGAGGGTAAGGAAAGCAGTTTGCATTTTACACCTATCAGTAAGGTATTGCTAGAGCATCCTAAGTGAAAAATGAGAATACACAGTATATCTTGTAGGTTTTATGTTAGCCCCTTCCTGTTGGCATGTGCTTAAATTATCCCTACTGACAGCCCCAGAAGCAATCTAGCTGGATGATCCACGGAGGAGGCATGTGGTCATAATCTCTTGTTGACTCGTTGCCTGGTTTGGAGTGACTTTGGCTGGTGGAGAAGGCCAAAATACCCAGCTCCAAGGTTGTTTGGGGCAAACATGAAATTCTTTGAAGGGAGGAGGGATAAACCTAAAACAAGTCGAAATTGGCACTGGATTCTCTGCCCGGTGATACGGAGAGAGATGAAGGGCGGGGGCATGATTTCTGATATGATATTTCCGATTCTTGGCTGACATACAGGAAAGGTCTGTTTGTTTATACTTCATGCCAACGATACTTTGTAGTGAAACATCAGCCAGGTTGCTATCGAAACCTTCAACCCCAAACATAACATTGCAAAGTCAGGAATTCCCCACAAGTATTAGCCTCTCTGTACAGGCCTGTGTTTCTATGGGCAAGAGAAAGAGCTCAATCAATATTTCTGGGTTAACAAAAAGTATAATTTATTACAATACAGTACCCTTATTTCCGTACCCCACAAAGCTGAATTTCCACCAAAATACGGCTGTGTGGGTGGATTTTAACATGAAAGAAGTGTGTTTGGTGTTTTTATCTTCTTTAAGTTTAATCAAACACAATGAAATAATCCCACTGTAAAGTTATTGCTGGTCATTTACTTAATGAAATTACAGCAGCACAAGACATTTTGCTTTATGCATTAGATGGTTTTACCTGGGATTAATCCTGCAAGTTCCTTTAAAATGAATTGAGGTTTCACAGTAACAAGGTCTAATATATTAGTCCTGCAGCCACCTGATCAGGGAATGTGAATTTTGAAGGATAATCTCCATTTGTTCTTCATATCATTCCTAGTACCAAACACCCATTATCTAAAAATCACAGGCAGTTACTTAATGTATGACTTTGCAGCTGTTCAGAACTTGTTGAGCTCAAGCTTAATGTGTATATAGAAAATATAAACATGTAAAGTTAACTGCTGGTTACAAATAATAATGAATTTTGGAGAGCCTTGCAGTAATGTTTTTAAAAACCCTGTGCTTTTAATGCTCGCTCTGTGTATCCGTGCTGTTACTGCCCTCAAAGGATATGAAATTAGGTATAAAAAGTCAGTTAGAAAGATGTACGCATTTTGAAACTCAAATTAATGTACCTGTTCACAGACTGATTAATGATTAGCAGATTATCTACACATTGTCTGTATGTGAAGTAATGAGTTGCAGACCAGATGTGGTGTTCATGCTGTATGCCCTCTGAAGCACCTTTTCCAATTTTTTTCTGAAGTGCTACCAAGCTTTACTAAATTTTATTTGGAGGTACTGGTACTTTGAAGCCACTGTGTTCTAACCTGCTATGTTCTATTCAAACGAACGCACAATTATTTAATACAGTATGGACAAATTCGGGTGCACTTGTATTTAAGATTACTTTCAGGATTTACAGAAATGATAATGTTTTAGATTTTGCAACTCATCTATAAAATAATGGTGGGCAGAAAACCATTTTAATGAATTATTTTTCATTAGTACTGGTCTTTAACGGAAATAGTTTCTTCTTTTCTTCTCTTCTTTTAGTTGGTGACATAAGATTTACATTAGGGTTACAATTAGATATTGCTTCAAAAGTTGGAAAATGTTACAGTGATAATGAAAGGGTTGATTAAAACGTGTTTAAAAATTGCACCTATTAGAAATGTTTTATGGCTGATAGCATTGCCCACAGCAAAATCAGGTTTCTGAAAAGGCAGAAGATTGGAAATAAAATAATTTGTACGTGTAGAGAAAGCGATGCTATTTTGTTATTTTCCAAAAATCTTGAAAAAAGTTGGAAGGAAAATAAAGAACAATTAATTGATGACATCATGTAATTGCCTTCAAAAAGCGTGTGG